GTCATTCCTCATCCGAAAATTGTATCACATGATCAGTGGAATGGTCTACAGTGTGTCGGACATGTGTAGGTTGTTGAACATTATAAGCAACTACTTGTTGTACCAGCTAATCTTTTATCGGATCAAAGGAGAACTCTATGTGTCTTGGCATGTAAGTGGGTCTTCTTCAATAATAGTGAGTGGTATCAACACATTTGGATCTGTACCTATACTATGGTGTTCTTCATGTGGAACTGTGGTGTTAGAAAGAGGATCAGGTTGCACCTTCTCTGCAGAGATGGTAGGTGGCTGAACTTTAGCGATATTTGGCCTTAGATGAGGATACAAACGATAGCAAATAGTAGAACTGTTGTCGAACATACTGCAATAAGAGCAATAAGGAGGGTGTGGTTCTATTTAAACTTTTTGTCAATACCCGTTGTGAGTAGTGTCAATCCATAACTCATCTGAAGTTTGTTGAGTGATATCTCTCTCAACTAACACACAAGCCACACACAAGCCATCAAGCCATAGAGGGTCTGGTGACAGCAAGCATAGGACTATCAACCTTGAGAGGCTTACCGTAAGCAGTTGCTAAAGAGTATGGAATTTTCATATTGAACAAATGTAATTTTAACCCTGGAAACTTTATCCAAACATGAATGATAGGGGACTCCACTTTTGCATCAAAATCGACAGTCCACTTTAGAATTTTCATAAAACGGTTGTCGATCTTGATAACTTTTCGAGAAAGATGCGAGTGTAATCGGCATCGTGAGATAACTGAATCTGTATATGTCAACTGTTAAGTAAACCAATATTTCAACTGTCCAATATTTTCATAGCATCAAACTCTTTCCTAATAATCTCCAGTTTTGGGTGACCATAAAGAAATTTCCCCAATAGAGCAAAACGTCAAGAGGACGCGAGAGTACTAGTTTCAATCTCAATGAGAATAAGAGCAGGCTTCCCATTTTTTTTGTCAAGTTTTTTAATAAAAGTGTGATAACCACCACCTGTAAGGCAATGTGAAAAGATTGAGGAGCATTGCAGGACTTTTCAATATGAAAACCAGGCTCTGAACCTGAAAGAGGAGCACGAGTAGGAATAGGAAAGTCGCCAGTAACTACATTAGCATAGGAACGCATCGTCCTGCTGAATCCCGAAATCCCGTAGCAGTCGCTCTCCTACTGAGAGCCTGAAACTCGGTGTCTCCTGCTGAGAGTGTCGAGCGTCGGGACGAAGGGACGAAGCAGTTGGCGCATCCTACTGAGAGATTCGAGAAAAGTTAACATCGTGTCTTCTTGTTCGGCGTCATTCACAGTCTAATGTGGTGTGCCCTCACCCGCACACGAATCTTCTGCTTCGGCTTCCTCGCGTTACCGAGAGCAATGAGCGGACTACGTACGAGAGGGGGAGGCGGAGGCGTTGTTCACAGACGTTTCACGTGCGAAGCTTCTTGTTCCTGTTCGACGTCATTCATCGACTGTTGTGGTGTGCCCTCTCCCGCACCCGCATCTATCTTCTTCTTCGGCTTCCTCGCGTTACCGAGAGCAACGAGCGGGCTACGTTATATATATACATACATGCACATATATATATATATACATATATGTATATATATATACATATATGTATATATATATACATATATGTATATATATATACATATATGTATATATATATACATATATGTATATATATATTTGGGAAAAAGAGCATCGGAGGCTCTCTACGTGTTAAAATTAAAAAAAAGGTATAAAAGTTAGAGGGGAGGAGGATCCCCGTCTAAAACAGCCAAAAAATACTTTTAACACAGCCCTAGGGGTTCCTCCTCCCACATTACAACTTACGCAAAATGAAAACTCCATACTTACAAGTATACCCAAGCCAAAAAACAAAACTAAAAAATAGTATACCTGTGCCCGTGTAGTAGAAATAACAAGAAAAGAAACAAAAAAGAATCCAAGAAAAAAAGAGGCAGCAAGATACTCCTAATCCACTGGAAACACTCCAACAAACAACAGTGTAAACTGGGATGTCCATCGACTAAGCAGAGCAGCCAAACAGCACAAAACCAGCGTAAACCAAGAGATCAAGAGAGCCAGAGACAAAGCCAGAAAGGGGTGCAATATGAAACCTGCCAGCAAAATAAAGAAACCACAAGAGGGAGGGGTGCAAAACCAAATCACAGTAAAGATACAAGAGCGCCCAGTCGTAGAGCCGAGCAGCAAGTAGTTTCTAAAATCTAACATAAGGCAAATCCAGGTTATCCCCAGTAAGGAGACGTCTGAGGGGAGCAGGGGGAGATAAACCTACAGAGCATGCATCCCCTGCTTGCCTGGCTAACCAATCGGCAGGGGAGTTGCCCTCTCTATGGATGAAACTGCAACTCACTTTCATATGTCTTTCAGAAATTAAAGCAGAAATACGTTTAAGAATGCATATAATATCCCAAAGAGGAGAGATACTCAACAGTATATTATAGAGCATTTTCGAATCAATTTCCACCTCAATCGTATGAAAATTGAAAGCAATTGCCACCGTTAATGCAAGAAAAACCCTCCAGCATTCTGTGACTAAGAGGTTGTCAGTAGCAACAGAAAAAGTAAAATAGCACATACACTTATCCTCAGAATTTCTAAAAATGCCCCCAACTGCAGCAGATCCTCAGCAGATCAAGGGTTCCAACTGCCATCCACATTCACCTTAACCCATCCGAAAGATGGGGGAGCCACCTGATTAAACGGGGGGCCTTGAAGTTCGACACTCCCTGAGGGCCTTGGTGTAATAGGCCAACACATAAGAAGTTGTCATAGATGCTATAGGAGGGGGGGAATTATATTTGAAGTTGTTTCTCGCGGTCCAAATAAACCAAAGGACCAGCAAAGGAAGGTAAAACCCTCCCCCCTTATCATCAAAAGCCTTCCACTGCCACAAATAAATACTTAGGATGCCTATATGGATCCAATGGATACAAAAGTGTTAGCCCAATATATTCCAAACATTCAAAGAAAAAGCGCATTCAAAAAATGTGTATCGAATCTTCCTCCGAGACTTTGCACATAGGACATCTCGAAGCCAATTTAGGGCCTTTCAACTTTAGAATGTCATCAAGAGACAGTAAATAAGAGAAAAGTCGCCAGAGGAAAAAAGAGATAATGGGAGTTAAAAGTTTGTGCCAAATCCATTTTCCCCAAAACTAATCCCGGTGAGAGTGTAAAGTGCCATAGATTAACTTGCTGACCGATTGAGAAGTGGTCCTCTTCCACACGGGGAAATCCCTGCGGGAAGGGGTAATAGGTATAGTATTTATATGCTTAGCATTTTGCTCCCCCACAATAGAATACAGTTTGGTGAAATCCCATCTATCTTGAGAAAAGAAATAAGAAACAAGTTATTAGTATTGGGAGGATGAGAATATTCAGAGAGAGAAGGCAATCCCCAATTATCATTCCATAAAGAGATGTTACCGATGTTACCGTCACCAATGTCCCCATGAAATCACTAGCAATAGACCTAGCATTAACAACAGCTCTCCAGATCCGAGAATCACCAACCTTTCACAAAACCTGGGAAGGGTGAGAAAAATCACAGTATTTCTGATGCATAAAAGTGGCCCATAGAGATGAGCCCATTCTAAATTTAAACCAGAGTTTGCAAAGGCTTATTTCAACCGTGTGTTTCAAGGCTTTAAAGCCAAAACCGCCAGTCTTCTTAGGCTTACACAACCTTTGCCAAGAGCCTCAAATCTTCTTAGCACAATTCCCCACCCAAAGGAATTTATTGAAAAGTCACTCCATGACATTAATAGCACTTTTCTTCGGATTAAACACCTGCAAAGCATATAGAGGAAAACTCTGAAGCACCCTAGATAGCAATGTTATCTTGCCCCCAGTAGAAAAGAAAACATTTCTTCAATCGTTAATTTTACGCTTGATTTTGTCAATAACATCATCCATATGAATCTGTTTCCTCCTTCCCCTGATCAAATTAACCCTAAGGTAGGGAAAGAGGCATAGTGATAGCTTGTATAAGAAACCCCCCAATGAATAAGTTGTTGCTTAACCTGTTTGCCAAAATACATCTGGCATTTGTCACAATTAAAAACTAGTCCAGAACAATTCTGGAAATCATTTAAGGGCCTCATTAATTGTTTTAAGGCAAGTTTAGAGGCATTAGCAAAAATAATAACATCATCCGCGTAAGCAACGAGAGAAACCACCATTTTGGTTTTATGAGAAAACTTGTGTATGAGGGTAAATCAGTTGAAAATGAATGAGCATTCTAGATAAATAATCAAAGGCTAAAATGAAAATAATAGGGGAGAGAGGGTCCTCCGTTTAATGCCCCTGCAAGCAGTGAAGAAACCATAAGAATTATCATTAACCAGCACGGAGTAATTATTGTTAGCCAACCATCTTTTAATCAATATGCAAAAACTGGAATCGAAATCTCTGGCCTTCAATATGTATGTATATAT